TGGACTGAAGAGTCCCAGGTTCAATTCTGGTCAAGGGCACATGCCCAGGTTGTAGGCTCAATCCCTGGTGGAGGGTGTGCGGGAGGCAGCCAATCAATGATTCTCTCTCATCATTGATGCTTCTATCTCTCTCTCCCTCTCCCTTTTCTCTGAAATAAATAAAAGTATATATTTTTTTAAAATGGTGGTGAAGTAAGTGGATGCTGTATGGACACACTCCCAGGTCCAAACTGTAATTACAACTAAAATATAGAAAATCTTACTGAATAATCAATGGAAGACTCACTGGAGAGAACCCTGATAGCTGAGGACCAAAAGTGAAGACTGCATAGAGGCTGGTAAGAGGAGCAGAGGTGCAAAAGGGCTGGCCAGGCTCCCACAGACAGCAGCTGAAGTTCCGGAGAGATATCTCAGATGTAGGGGGTTCCCAACTGAGAACTCTGGTGTCTAATTCCAGAGCTGGGCCCCCAGCAGAGAGCACCAGAACTGAGAAAGGCACCCACATAACATCTGGCTTTGAAAAACAGTGGGATAGCTGTCTACCAGGGAGAGATGGCTGGAAATTCAGGCATGCTCTTAAAGAGCCAACACATAAAATTTCCTGTGGAGCCACCCATCTTATGATCCAACAGAGAAACAGCAGAGTGGATTAGAGCTGGGTGAGCAGAAGCCAGGATTGAGGGCTCTGGGGTTAGAGCTCAGAAGGCAGACATCCCAGTGTCCTGTGTTGACCCATTCCCTTACGCTGCAGAGGTAATCTTTTTCAAGCAGACAATTGTTATACAGGCGACATTGCCTGGGTGGGGGGAGGGGAGGGAGACAGCTGACCCACCCTATTGGAAAACACCTTGCCCCATATGAGACTGAGAATAACAATTACCCTCCAGGAAGAAACAATTAGCCCACCCTGCTAAACAAAACAAAACAAACAAAAAAAACTCTTGCCACACCTGTGGATGATTGCCTGAGGGAAGATCAAGAGGAATCCTATCAGTCTGCAGCCAGAGGCAGTCTCTGGAGGATTTGAGTCTTTGCCTGATCTAATTATTTGGAAACAGTATTTGACACAGTCCTCCATCAGGGATCGAGAGGTGTAGCAGATCTACCTAATACATAGTCACAAACCCAAACAGGCAGCCAAAATGAGGAAACAAAGAAACAACCCACAAATGTAAGAACAAGCGAATTCTCCAGAAGAAGAGATACATAAATGGAGATTAGAAATTTATCTGAAACTGACTTCAGAATAATGATGGTAAAGTGCTCAACAGCATGAGAAAAATATATAGTAACTACGAAAAAAGAACAGTTGGAAATAAAGAATGACATAGCACAAATAAAGACAACATTAGAAGGAATACACAGCAGATTAGGGGAAGCTGAGGATCAAATCAGTGAGTTAGAAGACAGGGTTGAAAATATCACTCAATCAGAGAACCAACAAGAAAAAAAAAATTAAAAATAGGAGGACAGCTTAAGGGAGCTGTAGAACAACATGAAATGTAACAATATTAGAATAGTCAGTGTGCCACAAGAGGCAGAAAGGGAGAAAGGAATAGAGAACATGTCTGAAGAAATAATGGCTGAAAACTTCAATAACCTGATCAAGGAAAAAGTCACACAAGTGCAGGAGGCACAGAGAACCCCAAGCAAGAAGAACCCAAACAGGCCCATGCCCAGACACATCATAATTACAATGCCAAAAATTAAAGACAAAGAGAGAATCTTAAAGGCAGCAAGAGAAAAGCAAACTGTTACCTACAAAGGAGCTCCCATAAGGCTGACACCTGATTTCTCATCAGCAACTCTACAGGCCAGAAAGAAATGGCATGAAGTACTCAAGGTAATGGAAAGCAAGGATCTGGAAAGCAAAGGATTTGGAAAGCAAAGATTACTATATCCAGCAAGGCTATCATTTAAAATAGACAGTCAAATAAAGAGCTTCCTGGACAAAGAAAAATTAAAGGAGTTCATCACCACCAAGCCAGCATTACCAGAAATGCTAAAGGGACTGCTGTAATGAGAAGAAGACACACAGAGAGAAACCTAGCCATACAGAATTAAAAAGGCAATAAATAAGTAACTATCAATAATAACCTTAAATGTAAATGATTAAATGCTCCAATAAAAAGACATATGCTAGCAGAATGGATACAAAAACATGACCCAACTATATGCTGTCTACAAGAGATCCACTTCAGAACAAAAGACACACACAGTATAAAAGTGAAGGGATGGAAAAAAGTTTTTCCATGCAAATGGAAAGGGAAAAAAGCTGGAGTAGCAGTACTCATATCTGACAAAGTAGACGTCAAAATGAAGGCCATCACAAGAGACAACAAAGGTCACTACATAATACTAATGGGATCTATCCAAAAAGAGGATACAACCCTGGTAAACATATATGCACCCAATGTAGGAGCACCTAAATACACACATACACACACACACACACACACACACACACACACACACTGAGTGGCCAGATTATTATGACCACCTGATGTTTGTAGGCAAATTAGCTATAATTTCACACTGAAGTTGCTAGAGGGCCAGACCATTATAAATAGGGAAGCAGGTTGTTTACCACGACAGTAGAAGTGATTTTTTTCCTGAAGATATGGGTAAACAACATGATTTAACAGCCTTTGAACGTGGGATATATTTGAATGTGAGTGGCCAGATTATATATAACCACCTGATGATGTAGGCAAATTAGCTGTACACTGCAATCAAATGGGGAAAAGGGAAAGCCAAAAGGCCGGTTCCAAAACCCTTTTGCTTTTTTGGGGTTAACAAAAAAAAAAAGCTCCCCCAATTTGGCAGGGAACCCAAGGAATGGGAAAGGCCGGCCTTTGGAAAAAAACACTGGGGGCCCGAAGAAAACAAGTTTCCCGGTGGCCCCACGGAAAGGGGGGGGGGGGAAATTTG